CATTGGAGTGCAAAGAGCTAAGAAGATTGGTTATACAGTATGGCTGCCTTTTGCCTCATTAGATGCCACGCCAAAGAACGCCACTCCACCAATGTGCTTGTGAGTGAGTGAGCTATAGTATGGCTGTAAATTACTCACCTTACTAGTACTTTCCATGCACCTTCCTTCTACCTGCCTCCCATCTTCCTCTTACTCTTAAATCGGAAACACACCGCAGGCGCACTTACAAGGTTGCGAGGCGAGTCAAGAGGCCGAGAGATGATGGGATGGAGGCCGACAAGCTGTTCTTGGACAAGTTTGTGTCATGTAGGATGTGGAGAGGGGCGGAGAGAGAGGGGTAGTGGGGAGGGGGGATGGAGGATGAAATGCCATTCTTGGACAAGTTGCTGTCATGTACGCAGGGAGGAGAGGGGCGGAGAAGGTGGGGTGGTGGGGAGGGGGAATGGAGGATGAAATGTTCTTCATGGAAAGATTTCTTCGGTAACACGGGCAGAGAAGGTGGGGGGAGCGGAATGAGGAGAGGGGGGATGAGGGAAGTGGGGCGGAGGGGGGTGGGGTGGGGGGGCTAAGGAGGTAGACAGGATGGAAGCGAGGAAGATATGTTTCTGCGCAATTACGAAGTGGAAGTGATTCGGCAGGGAAACAGAAAATTTGAGTCAGAAATGCAAAGATTTGTCAGTCTAATGACATTATGGGTTGGTGTGGTGGCAGACCAAATAGGGCTGACATGATAGGAGTATGCCGCTGCTGTCTGTAAGGATTCTTTCAGCTCAGAACACAAATGAAACGGCAGTGTGCAACTAGCTTCGAACCTTGGCTGGTTCTTTCCTTCAGAGAAAAGTACACCTCATGCTTTGACCACCTCGTACATCGACTCGAGCCTCGTGAGAAAGCCAAGGCTCCATGGGATGCTGCCAGTCAAGCTGTTGTTGCTCAGGTCACTGAATGTTAGGGAAACAAACAGGCACAGCAACGTGCATGGGGTTTTGAGATGAGTAGAGAAAGGAACAATAGATAGTGCCTCTGATATGGTTGTCAATCTCAGTGAAGCAGCAGCAGCTCAGCAGGAATGGCTTCGGCAGGTTGAAGCAAAGCTGCCTTCGCTGCTGCCAAAAGCCTCCTCGTCATGATCACGCGTGCTGCACTCTCTTCCTGTCTTGACAAAATATATCTTCAATGGCCATTCGATCAACCTTGCCAGCCGTGTGGGCATAACAGATCATTCTTGAGCGGAGCTCGCAGTGGTGTGTGAGGATGCCTTCCCGAGTAAACAGGTTGAGAGAGTGGCGGCTTACAGGGCGGTGAGCGACTTGAGTCCGCCCAAAGAGGCTGGGACGGTTGAGTTGATGTGGTTGGACGAGAGATCTCTGTCGAAGCAGAAAAGGGAGGGAGGCAAGGGAAGCACTTGATCACTGAACAGAGGCACTTTGGGAAGCTTTGAAATGTCAAATGAAGAGAAAGTTAGCATGTCACTGAAGTTGCGCATCGAGGGAGGTCCCAGACGGAGGCTATGAACAAACGCCCCCCCCCTGTCACTAGGAATGCAGGTGAGAAAGCACTCGAACCCACGGCCGGGATCTCCTAGGTGCATCAACAATTGGCCAGGGTTCTGTGTCACGAGCATGCGCATTTTCAGTCTCACAGGTGTCGTGGTCTTACAGGTCTAGTGGTCTCACAGGTGTCGTGGTCTCACAGGTGTCGTGGTCTCACAGGTGTCGTGGTCTCACAAGTGTCGTGGTCTCACAGGTGTCGTGGTCTCACAGGTGTCGTGGTCTCACAGGTGCCGCAGTTCAAAGAGCATCCAAAGGCCGCCCGGGATTCGATACGCCTCAAATATTTTAGGCGTGTCAGAACAGGGACCCTGCCTCACAAGCATGGGCGTTTTGAGTCTCCCAGCTGTCGCAGCTCGGGGAGCACCCAAAGGCCGCCTGGGATGGATCCGTGCAAGGTGCTGTCGCTCAGATCCCTGGCAGGGAGTGAAGGGAGGGCGCAAGGAAGCAGAGCAGGTTATGAAGGCCCGAGGGCACGGAGAGGGGAGAGATGGCTTTGAGTTGAGTTGACAGTCATCTTGGGACTTATCCGTTCAATGAGCTGTCAATCAGGTCACTGGTAGGCCACGTGAGCAAGATATGTAAACGGGGCATGGGGGCACGGGGCGAGGCCACAGGGGCAGGGCATGGGACGGGCACAGGCGCAAGGCATGGGACAGGGCATGCATGTGTGTGGACCATGTGTGTGTGCCATGTGTGTGTGCCATGTGTTTGTGCCATGTGTGTGTGCCATGTGTGTGTGCCATGTGTGTGTGCCATGTGTGTGTGCCATGTGTGTGTGCCATGTGTGTGGGCCATGTGTGTGTGCCATGTGTGTGGGCCATGTGTGTGTGCCATGTGTGTGGGCCATGTGTGTGTGCCATGTGTGTGGGCCATGTGTGTGTGCCATCTGTGTGGGCCATGTGTGTGTACCATGTGTGTGGGCCATGTGTGTGTGCCATGTGTGTGGGCTAAATGTGTGGGCCATGTGTGTGGGCCATGTGTGTGTGCCATGTGTGTGGGCTATGTGTGTGTGCCATGTGTGTGTGCCATGTGTGTGTGCCATGTGTGTGTGCCATGTGTGTGGGCTATGTGTAGGGAGGAGCATATGGCAAACACGAACATGTTCGTGTTCGCCTGGGGTCGAACATAGCCGTTCGGCGAACCGAACACTGTTCGGTTCGCCGAACACTTTCCAGCAGAAAGGGTGTTCGAAGTTCGCCAATACAGGCGAACATTTCTTAAGTTTTGGCGAACACGAGCACGTTCGTCCAGAACATGTTCTTGTTCGCCCTAGAGGGGGGGGACAAGACTCTAGATTTAAACACTGCCAATGCCAATGCATCATTATATATGGGATTAAAGAGTGTTCTCAGTGTCTGTAATTACTTATATAAGCCTGGCCAACTAGTAGCAAAGAACAAATCCACATTCGAAGTCTACCCAACACAACTCAACATCCCAACGTCACCAACGCGCCGCTCGAGCGCTCGATAACCCACAACTACATCCCTGACCCACCCTCGCTACCAACAACACCCTCTCCTCCACCCGCTGCTGCGTCCACCCCTCTCCCCTTACCCGCCTCCTCCGCCACTTCCACCTCAGGCGCCTTCTCCACCTCCACCTCATCCCCCAACTCCTCCTCCTCCTCCTCCTCCTCCTCCTCCTCCTCCTCCTCCTCCTCCTCCTCCTCCTCCTCCTCCTCCGCACCCTCGCCCTCAATAGCAATCTCTAGTGCTACGGCCCCCTTCGGGCAGCCGCCCTCGCCGATCCTCTGTCCAGGGTGCGATCCATACCAGGAGCGGAGAATCATGCAGGCTCGCGACCTCTCGGTGTTCAGGCGGTGACACTTCCATGAAATGAGGTTGCGGCCCAATGAGAACACCCGCTCACTCGCAGCAGACGTGGCAGGGATGGCGAGATAGTCCCTCGCCATCTGCTTTAGCATCTCCATGTTCGTGGAAGTGCGCCATTAGTCTAGCGTAGAGACGTCGTACTGCACCCTCTCCGACAAGTACCTGCTGACCTCGTCGTCCTGCACAAGACCACCCCCCCCTGCCGCCTGGCTCGCATACAGACGCGCCGCAAGGCGTCGGCGACTAGGGAGATACAGGTCGTCCTCGTCCTTCCCCCCCTGCTCTCCCTCCTCCTCGACCACCGTGGGAAGTGTGGTGGGCCTAGGAGCCAGCTCCCTCGCCGCTGTCTGGTACTCGGCCACCCGATCGCGTACCAACGCGATCACCACGCTCGATGGCGGGCGCGGCCTCTCTCTCAGCACCGTCTGTGGATGCTGCGTCTCCCAGTGGGGGTCGTCAAACCACGCCGCCTTCATGGAAGGATCCAGGAAGGTGGCGATCCAGCCCTCGTGGCTGCTGATGTACTAATACTTCTTCGGGATTCGTAGAGCCTTCTCGACCAGCGGCTTCAGCAGCGCAGAGGGCCCCTTTGCCAGTCGGGCCTCCATGGCGTCGATGAGGCTGTTGTAGTACGGCACCACCATCGACAGCGTCGGGTACGCCGTCCCCTCGGCTGCCTTGGAGACCTTGTTGAAGGGGCTAAGAAATGTTCTTAGCTCCTTCAACATGTCCCACTGCTCATTAGACAGGCGCATTTTCTCGACCTTATCCTTGTCGGTCTTCAACAGGCCCTGCTTCGGGTAGGGCGTGGTGGGCCGGGGCATAAGAAGAGCATGGTTGTTATAAACATGTCTTGCACATCACGAAACCAGTTGCACAACACACAAATCACATGCCACACATGTTGCACACATGCAAAACACATGTCGCACACATGTCTAACACATGTCGCACACAAGCCACACACATGCCGCACACATGCCATTTTTCATGCCTCACACATGCCACACACATGCCTAACACATGCCTCTCACTTGCCTAACACATGCCGCACACATGCCATACACATGCCTCACACATGCCACACACATGCCACACGCATGCCTAACACATGCCTCACACGTGCCTAACACATGCCACACACATGCCATTTGTCCCGATCCGATCTCACCACATACCTGAGTCGAGGCCAGAAACACTGTGATCGGATGCTGCAGCTCAAGGTAGCGGTCGATCATGGCGTGCGTCGAGCCCCAGCAAGTGGGGCTATCCTGCACCAGCTTCAAGGCTGGTTTTTTTACACGGGCCTGCATGTTCAAGCTGCGCTGCAATCCAAGGAAGGCTGCCGAACGCTGTGGCGAGAACCCAACCCACGACGCCATGTCCCTGAGCACCTTCAGCAGGAGGCGAACGGCATTGACCTTCAATCCTGCCTGCACTGCCAGGTTGACCACATATGATATGCACCTGCCAATCACATCGAGATTGGCATGGGTTTTGGGATGTTGTGACACAAAGTCTTTGGGTGCCGGTGGGGAATCCAAACACCCCAGATACGGCCACACGCACCCACAATGCCGACCCTCACAACCCCCCCCCCCCCCCCCCCAAATCACCCCCACACACAACACTCATACCTGAAGTGCAGGCGAGTGTTAAAGAAGCGTCGAACACCACCCTCCTCCGACAGCCTCCGAAACGCGGCAATGTTGGCCCAGGCGTTGTCTGAGGTGAGGCCCATACAACGCCTCTCCAACCCCCACTTCACCACCGTGTCCTCCACGACCTGCGCGATCTGCACTGCTCCATGACGACCAGTCAGTTCGCGAAACTCGAGCACTGCCTCGCGCAGCTGGAAAGATTCGTCTATCCAGTTACCCGTCACTACTATCCATGCCTTCCTATTGGGTGCAGTCCAGATGTCAATGGTCATTGACACCTTGCACCCCAACTCCCCCTCCTTCCCCTGCAGCTCCGCCTTGGCCGCCGACAGAGCGGCCGCCGCAAACGCCACAATGTCGCGTGCCACCGTCCATCGCGACGGCATGAAGTTCTTGTCCCCGCAGTGTTGGTTGCACAGGGTTAGAAGCTCGCGAAACTGGAGGGATGGTTGAGACGGTACACAGAACGCATGCGCTGGGTGTCAAAGCACAGGTCAATAATGGAATTCCCAAGGAGAGGCGTAAGAGACAGCACCCAACTCCCTCCCCTAAACATGCATACAAACAACCCTTGCAAACCGCTCTGGCCGCCAAAACCACGCTGATCAAATACCACCCACCCACCCACAACCAGCATTGCACACTTACCGCCTCAGCCTCCACAATCTTCAGTGGGTCGCAGGTCACCACCAGTTTGGCGATCGCCTGACGAAGCTCCACCTCTGACAGCTTCTTCAACATGTAGGTCTTGATCCCAACGACGCCGGACCCCTCAGCCCCTCGCCGCTCCGCCCTCCCACCCTTCTTTGGGATGTTTGGCCACTTTTCTGTAGGCGGCCAATAGTATACGTAGCCGTCCGGCACTCCCACTTAGCCCCCCCTCGGGAACGTCTCGCCCAGCAGCTGCAGATGTGGGTTGTGGTAACGATGATACCACACATCCATGTGAGCAGTGTGGAAGCTCTCAAAGTGACGCTCGCCTGGGGTGGTTGTAGATCCCCGCCAAGAAATGCAATCGGTACAAATCTTGCATTGCCGCTTGTCATCTGTCCCCTTGGACCCAAACATATGTACTTGCCACCCCCGCTTCCTCCCCCCCCCCTTGCCACTCCCCTGGCTACTCTCGGGCTGTCCATCATCGTCGAGGAACTCTGGAGCAACCACACCCTCGCCCAGATCCACCCCTCTGAAGGTGCAAGGATACGTCCGTGTCCTCTCCTTCTCGGCTTTCTTCTTCCTGGTCCCAATCAATGGCCTCTTTTGCCCAACCTTAACACCTCCGCGCGGCCGTCCTCCGCCCACGTGCTGAGATGCCTCCTCTGTGGTAGCCGCGGCAACCCCTCCTCCCTCACCAACCCCCTCCTCTACCCCCTCTGGCTCCAACCCTTCCATCTCCTCATCCTCATCTCCTCCCCCGTCCGCACCACCACCGCCATGAGTCTCGGGTGTCCACCCCGGCTCACTATCGTCACCGCTACCCTCCGAGTCCTCCTCCTCCCCCTCCCCCTCCTCCCCCTCCTCCTCGTCCTCCTCCTCCTCCGCCGCCGCCGCACTGTCGGTCTGAGTGGTGTTGCGCGTCTGCTCAGAAGGACAGGGCCGTTGACCACTATAACGGTACGACACCCGGGATGACGGCACGGGCATGGCCAGAAGCTCACCGACGAAACACGCACCAACTCCTCCCGTGCCGTCACCAGGTCGAGCCTGCATTGGTCGTGGTGCAGACGAGGGCGCGCCGGCCTGAATACCGCCGCGTCCGGCCCGCCCTGTACTAACTTGTTTAGGAGAGGACATTTCCGCCACCGCCGCATAAACCTAAACCCTAGCTACAACTGTAATGCGGCCTGCTGCAATGTTTATGAAGGAGATTGTCACTATGATCTTAAAGCTAACGGTGGAGAGGAGACTAGTTCAACGGTAGTGCAAACCCTAATGTGATGCTAGATACGAATCTGGCACTATGGATGATATGCTACGTCCTTAGTATTGAACTATTACATCACTATAATGCCAAAACGCCATACTTCAACGACTTGAGGGCCTATGCTAGTCCTAGAAGGTGTGGGTGTGATAAGTGGTTGTGGGGTGGGCGGGCTGTTAGGAGCGCCATGGTGGACATGCTAAAAAAAAAGAGCCGCAATCGGTATGGCCGAGACCCTAAAATTGGTCGTGGCAATTTCGTCGACGAACATTTTAGGTGTTCGTCGACGTGCGTTTCGAACTCGAACATGTTCGTGTTCGACGCGCCTCGGCCCATCTCGGCACGCGAACAGCGAACATGTTCGCGCGAACCTCGAACATGTTCGTAACGAACACTTTTAGCCCAAAAAAAATCCCGTTCGGTTCGTCTCGAACGTGTTCGAGACGAACCGAACAGGTGTTCGCCAATATGCTCATGTCTAGCTATGTGTGTGGTCTGGCCGTGAACTGTAGGGGGAAAGGCATGCCGGGGACGGAACAGAGGGTGGAAGTAAAGGCATGGTTCCCAAAAGCAAGGCATTCGAGGCATCTCATCTCATTCTGTGTGTTTCTCTCCACCAACGGCCAAGGCTCTCACACGCCCTCAAGCGCTCACACACGTTTTGCCCTGCCCATCCACCTTTGTGTCGACTTTTAAATCGACTCAACGGTCAGCCTGCTATCCAACCTTGCCATGCTCACAGAAAGCCTGTTTCCCTCAGAACCTCTCTCAAACTCCTGACATTCCGCACTTTCTCGATTCACAAAGTCTCAAGCCTCTCAGATCTATCGTGCTTCCAATCCAACTCTCGAGCCTCTCAAGCCTCCTCGTGTCTCTCAAGCTTCCAACTCTCAAGCCTCCCAGGCCGCCGACTCACAGGCGCCTGAGCTGCGTCAGCAGGCTGAGAAACGACGGCGTTGTGCCCCATATGCTGTTGTGACTCAGATCGCTGGAGAAGGAAGGAAGAGAGGAGCGCGGGGGAGGAAAGGATGAGACAGCGAGAGAAAGAGGGCAGAGAAAGAGAGGGGGGGATGGTGTGAGAGGGGGATGGAGGGAGATGGAGGGAGATGGGGCACGGAGAGCAGGAGGAGAGCGCAAGAGGAAAGGCTGGGAGGTAGGGGGACGGGTAGATGGGAGAGGGGAGGCTATGAAACAGAGGACGGCGGAAGGGAAGAGAGGAAAGCAGGGAGGAAGAGAGGTAGGGAGCTGATGGAGGAGGGAGGGAGTGGGATCTTACACGAGAGAGAGGGAGGTGAGGGCACTGCATGTGGAGGGTATGGAGCCATCAATTCACGAAGTTGCTGTTTTGGGACAAAACGCAGGGCATGGAGCGGAGGGGCAGGGGGATTGAGGGAGGACACACGAAAATGGAAGGTGGGGCAGGGCGCAACAGCTTTGAAACTCTAGACGGCAGGTGAGTGGTCATTATTAGGGTGGGATGAAAGGTCCGCACAAGGGTGCAGAGAGTGCTGGTGGTGAGGCTTACAGAAGAGTGAGGGTGGTGAGGCTTACAGGAGAGTGAGGGTGGTGAGGCTTACAGGAGAGTGAGGGTGGTGAGGCTTACAGGAGAGTGAGGGTGGTGAGGCTTACAGGAGAGTGAGGATGGTGAGGTTGCCAATCTCCCTGGGAACGCTGCCATTCAACAGTGTGTTGCTCAGGTCACTGCTCATGTGATACATGTCCAACCAAGACATGGCATAACAAGCCATGCCGCACGTGCCATTCCCATATGGCATCACACCAAACATCACATGTGTTGTGTGTTAATGAACGAACAAGAAAGAGTCGTTTCATGAAGCATGGTGAACACAACATGACAAAACGCCAACAGGAAAACATGACTACGCACACCCTGAGTTCTTTGCACATGGAGATGGGGTCCGGAAAGCCATGGATGGAGTCCTACAGCAGACCATGGCAAGTCGCCATGTCACTACTACTTGTCACCGCCGTGCCTCACATTGCCACCACTGTGCCTCACATTGCCACCACCGTGCCTCACATTGCCACCACCGTGCCTCACATTGCAACCACCCTGCCTCACATTGCCACCACCGTGCCTCACATTGCCACCACCGTGCCTCACATTGCCACCACCGTGCCTCACATTGCCACCGCCGTGCCTCACATTGCTACCACCGTGCCTCACATTGCCACCGCCGTGCCTCACATTGCCACCACCGTGCCTCACATTGCAACCACCGTGCCTCACATTGCCACCACCGTGCCTCACATTGCCACCGCCGTGCCTCACATTGCCACCACCGTGCCTCACATTGCAACCACCGTGCCTCACATTGCCACCACCGTGCCTCACATTGCCACCACCGTGCCTCACATTGCCACCGCCATGCCTCACATTGCCACCACCGTGCCTCACATTGCCACCGCCGTGCCTCACATTGCAACCACCGTGCCTCACATTGCCACCACCGTGCCTCACATTGCAACCACCGTGCCTCACATTGCCACCACCGTGCCTCACATTGCCACCGCTGTGCCTCACATTGCCACCTCCGTGCCTCACATTGCAACCACCGTGCCTCATATTGCCACCACCGTGCCTCACATTGCCACCACCGTGCCTCACATTGCCACCACCGTGTCATTGCTGTCACAAGTCACCCCTTGCACTTGGCTGCAGTCCCCCCCTCCACTCCACCCAGTGGGCGCCACTCCCCATGCCCCCGCGCTGCCCGCCAGAGCTTGTGCTGTTGGAAGAGAGGGACGACGGGACGAAGGGAGGAGAGGAAGAAGGGAGGAGGGGAAGAAGGGAGGAGGGGAAGAAGGGAGGAGGGGAAGAAGGGAGGAGGGGAAGAAGGTAGGAGGGGAGGAGCACAGCACACACGGAGACAAGAGTGAGTAGTGGACCAGGAGGGGAGGTGGGGTGGAGAAACACAGCACATCAGACCGCAATATGGATCCCTTGAAGAAGCTGGGAATCAGGAATAGCAGAACAGGAGACTTAGAATGAGAGCAGTTGCTAGTGGGAGACCGGCTGATTATCAAGGCAGGAGGAGACTTGGGAAGAGAGCAGATGCTTAGCATGGGAGGAAGAACCAGAGGGTTCATGATGCGATCATGGATGCATGGCATGTGTGATGTACGGACCGATCCATGGGATGCGCGGCGTGCGCATGGATGCATGGGATGCGCATCGATGCATGGAATGCGCATGGATGCATGGAATGCACATGGATGCATGGGATGCGCATGGATCCATGGGATGCGCACGGATGGATGCATGGGATGCGCATGGATGGATGCATGGGATGCGCATGGATGGATGCATGGGATACGCATGGATGGATGCATGGGATGCGCATGGATGGATGCATGGGATGCGCATGGATGGATGCATGGGATGCGCATGGATGGATCCATGGGATGCGCATGGATGGATGCATGGGATGCGCATGGATGGATGCATAGGATGCGCATGGATGGATGCATGGGATGCGCATGGATGGATGCATGGGATGCGCATGGATGGATGCATGGGATGCGCATGGGATACGCATGGATGGATGCGTGGGATGCGCATGGATGGATTCATGGGATGCGCATGGATGGATGCATGGGATGCGCATGGATGGATGCATGGGATGCGCATGGATGGATGCATGGGATGCGCATGGATGGATGCATGGGATGCGCATGGATGGATGCATGGGATGCGCATGGATGGATGCATGGGATGCGCATGGATGGATGCATGGGATGCGCATGGATGGATGCATGGAGATACCACCGTGGTATCAAAGTGCGCAGCACTGCTCCGTGCTCTCACCATCTCATCTCATGCCATCACGCATCCCATGACTGTCAGTGCGGCGCATCACATTGCATCCCATCCCATTTCCTCCATCAGTCCATTCTCATCCGATACCTTGCGGCGCATCCCATCCCAACACTTCCATCCGATCTCATCCTTTCCATTCCATATCATCCTTTCCATATCATCTAATCCTCCTTCCCATCCCGTCCTTTCCATCCCATTCCACCCTTTCCATATCATCCCTTCCTCTCCTTCCCATCCCATCCATCCATCCCAACCCATGTTTTCCATTCCATCCCTTCCATCCCATCCCATCTGATCCTTTCCATATCATCCTTTCCATATCATTCCAACCTTTCCATCCTGGCCCATCCCATCTTTTCCATACAATCCTCCATTCCATATCATCCAATCGTTCCATCCCATCCGATCCTTCCATCCCATCCTTTCCGTTCCCATTCCATCATTTTCATCCCATCCCATCCTTCCATCCCATCCCATCTTTCCATCCCATCCTTTCCGTTTCATTCCATCCTTTTCTTCCATCCCATCCTTCTATCCCGCCCTTTGCATCCCATTCCATCCTTCCCGTCCCATTCCATCCTTCCATCCCATCCTTTCCATGTAACCCTCCATGTAACAGTGTGGCAGCCGAATGCTGCCAAGTACAGTGCAGGTGGGCGGAAGTCAACCGCCACCTCACCCAAACCTCCGATTGGTCAAGCGCCTCAACCTGCAGCTGGGCGACCAGGTCCTGACGCGCAGCCCAACTCAAACCCTCGCGCGAAAATTACGAAACGCAGAGCACCCAAGTTCTGACGCCTTGCCGACTTCGTCAACCACGCCGACGAAGTTACAGCCCCGTAATCAGACTCGCCGACCAATCCCGCATCGCAATCAATCTCTGAATTTCACGGCAAGGTTCATTTCAAGGGGTAGAGTTACCAATAAGAAATTCAGAGTGTCGCGATTTGGTAGTGCGACTCGATTTGTGAATGCACCATATAAAATTGTGTGTGAAATTTGTTGAAGTCATAGTGCAATTTCCAGAGAACTCCAGAGAGCACTCTATACTCGTTTTCCTAGACTACTAAGGCTGCTACTTCCCTGCCAGCAACGTTTCACTGCTAATCAGAGCCTGGTTAGTCACTTCGCACACTCCTGCCATATTCTAGACCCTATGGCTGGGCCGTCGGATATGACTCCGGAACTCTGGAACGAGTTTGTTGCCAATATGCGCCGAGAAATTGAACGCGAGGTGCGTGACCGGATCCTCGGCGAACTCCAGGAACGTGGACTCTTGGGCACAAAGGTGCCGGCGCCAGCACCTGCTGTGTTCTCTGCACGTCTGAAAGCACCTGAACCTGAGCCGTTTGTCCCTGGAAAACGAGACTTACCTGTGCGAAGGTGGCTCTTCCAAATGGAGGAGTACCTTTCCCTGTGCCACGTGAACCAAGCCGATTGGGCGCGCCACGCCGGCATGATGTTGCGAGGTGCTGCTGCTACTTGGTGGCAAAGCTGCCACGCTACAATTTCAACCTAGAAAGATTTTTCAGCATCGCTCACCATGAACTTCGAACCTGTCAACGCGATTGAACGCGCTCGTGACAACCTCGCTGCACTACGCCAACACCGCTCCGTAGCCGAATACGTCAACCGCTTCCGGGAGTTGGTGCTGGAGATTCCCGACATCCCTGCCTCCGAGCAGATGGACAATTTCAAGCGCGGGCTGAAACCAAAAATTCGCACCGAAGTGGAGCTTCGCGGATGTGCGTCGATGGACGATATGATCCGTGTGGCGGAACGCTTCGACACGATCAACTTCGCTGCATTCCAACGCTTCAACGGCATGATGGGTCACACAAAACAAGCTCCAGCTGCTCGTGCAAATGGTCCTACACCCATGGAGCTGGGAATGATGGAGAGGCAGCCGAGAAATGCTTCAAACGTCATGTGCTACCAATGCGGGAAGATTGGGCACATCAAGCGTAACTGCCCGAATCGTCGCAGCCCAAACGAAGGACGGGGAAACGGACAGCGCCAGTAGCAGTGGGGCAGACCTCTGGCGCGTCACATGCCCCGCTTCTCCCGACCCCATTATTCATCGGCACCTCTGAACTCTACACCACATCAAACGCTCCATTCCCCGCCATCATTCTATACGCAAAAATAAAGAATCGCTACGTTGACTTTCTGCTCGATACCGGCGCTTCCGCTAATTTTCTCTCTCCCTCAATTGCTGCTGAACTTTCTCTCCCTGAAGATCCCAACAGCAACCTGCAGGACGTGATCATGGCAGATGGTACCCGGCGGCGCTGCGGACCTACCCTCCTCCCCGTGCATTGCATGTTTGGAAGTCTAGAGGCGACGGTCACGTTCGAGCAACTGCACCTCGAGGGGTACGAAGGCGTTATCGGTCGGCCATGGTTGCACCAGTTTGGACCGCGGATTTATTGGCGCAATGGAACTGTCACCGTCGGCAACTACGACCTTCCATCCCACTCCTTTCGCCGACCATGGTCATCCCCAACTAGTTCAGCTTCATCAACCCATCCACCCCAACCTACCCCATCTCCATCTTCCCATATCCCCCCTCTCCCTCCTCCTCGCATAGCTCCCACGCAGCAGCCAACACCACCTGGCTCCCCCCAAGTGATCAACACACCTCCTCCTTCTCCACACCACCCAACCCAGCAGCAGCCCCGACGTCCCATCATCCGCCCCGCCTCTGAAGTTATCAACCCACCAGGCCCCACCCCTCCTTCACCACCTCCTCCTCATCATCTCCTACTCATCTTCACGGCTCCCGAATCTGAAGCATCGGCTACTTCTGTCCCCAACCATACAGAATCTGCTCAACGGTTATACGGATGTGTTTCCCGATGATCTACCCGCCGAACTTCCACCCGAGCGTGCCATTGACCATAGCATCCGCCTCATTCCATGTTCTACACCGCCCGTGCGCCCAACCTATCGCATGAGCACCGCTGAACTTTTGGAACTACGACGACAACTCGACGACCTTCTTAAGAAGGGTTTCATCTACCCCAGCACCTCACCATACGCTGCCCCCGTGCTTTTCACTCGCAAGAAGGAAGGTGACCTGCGCCTCTGCATCGACTACCGCGCCCTCAACGCCATCACTATCAAGAATAAGTACCCGCTGCCCCGTGTCGAGGAGTTGTTCGACATGCTTGGGGAAGCAACGGTTTTCAGCAAGCTCGACCTACGCTCCGGTTACCATCAGATTCGCCTCGCCGAAGACGACGTCAACAAGACGGCGTTTCGCACCCGCTACGGCCACTTCGAGTTCCGAGTACTTCAGTTCGGCCTCACCAACGCACCAGCCACGTTCATGGGACTCATGAATGACATTTTTCGGCCCTTCCTCGACCGCTTTGTCATCGTGTTCCTCGATGACATCCTCATTTTCAGCAAGTCACTCGAGGAACACGCTCAGCAACTACGCATCGTCCTCGACACGCTTCGCCAACACCGCCTCTACGCCAAGCTCTCCAAGTGCACCTTCGCCCGTTCAAGCATCGGCTTTCTCAGCCATATCATCAGCTCCAAGGGCATTGCTATGGACCCCGCAAAGGTTCAGTGCCTTGCTGATTGGCCAGCCCCATGCACGGTAGCGGAGCTGCAAAGTTTCATCGGCCTCGCCAAGTATTACCGGAAATTCATTTTCAACTTCTCTCACATCTGCGCCCCTTTGACCGATCTCTTCCGTCAAGGAGCTGCCTTTCAATGGGGACTACCACAGCAGACCGCTTTCAACTCAATCAAATCAGCACTCACCTCTGCACCAGTCCTCACCGTCGCCGACCCTTCACGCCCATACTTCATATGGACCGATGCTTTCGATGTCGCTGTTGGTGCCATTCTTTGCCAAGACCACGGCCATGGGATGCAGCCACTCGCTTTTGAGTCACGCAAGCTTCAACCGGCAGAGCGCAACTATGCAACACACGATCGAGAGCTCCTTGCCATTGTCCACGCAATCAAGACATGGCGCTGTTACGTGGAGCTGCAACCCGTCACCGTCTACACCGACCACCGCCCTCTTCAACACTTGAAAACACAGCCCGTGCTCAGCCGCCGCCAAGCCCGATGGGCTGAGGTTTT